GACATAAGAACCAATTCATCACGGGATACCAGTACCAATACATCAGGGGACACCAGTACCAATATAACTTGAGACACCGGAACCAATACATCGGGAGACAGCAGTACCAATACATCACGAGACACCAGTACCAATACATCACGAGACACCAGTACCAATACATCACGTGACACCAGTACCAATACATCACGAGACACCAGTACCAATACATCACGAGACACCAGAACCAATACATCACGAGACACCAGTACCAATACATCACGAGACACCAGAACCAATACATCACGGGACACCAGTACCAATACATCACGAGACACCAGAACCAATACATCACGGGACACCAGTACCAATACATCACGAGACACCAGTACCAATACATCACGAGACACCAGTACCAATACATCACGAGACACCAGTACCAATACATCACGAGACACCAGTACCAATACATCACGAGACACCAGAACCAATACATCACGAGACACCAGAACCAATACATCACGAGACACCAGTACCAATACATCACGGGACACCAGTACCAATACATCACGAGACACCAGTACCAATACATCACGGGACACCAGCACCAATACATCACCAGAACCAATACATCACGAGACAGCCAGTACCAATACATCACGAGACACCAGTACCAATACATCACGAGACACCAGTACCAATACATCACGAGACACCAGTACCAATACATCACGTGACACCAGTACCAATACATCACGAGACACCAGTACCAATACATCACGAGACACCAGAACCAATACATCACGAGACACCAGTACCAATACATCACGGGACACCAGTACCAATACATCACGAGACACCAGAAACAATACATCACGAGACACCAGTACCAATACATCACGAAGCACCAGAACCAGTACATCACGGGACACCAGTACCAATACATCACGAGACACCAGAACCAATACATCACGAGATACCAGCACCAGTACATCACGGGACACCAGTACCAATACATCACGAGACACCAGAAACAATACATCACGAGACACCAGTACCAATACATCACGAGACACCAGAAACAATACATCACGAGACACCAGTACCAATACATCACGAGACACCAGTACCAATACATCACGTGACACCAGTACCAATACATCACGAGACACCAGTACCAATACATCACGAGACACCAGAACCAATACATCACGAGACACCAGCACCAATACATCACGGGACACCAGTACCAATACATCACGAGACACCAGAACCAATACATCACGGGACACCAGTACCAATACATCACGACACCAGTACCAATACATCACGACACCAGAACCAATACATCACGGGACACCAGTACCAATACATCACGAGACACCAGAACCAATACATCACGGGATACCAGTACCAATACATCACGAGACACCAGTACCAATACATCACGAGACACCAGTACCAATACATCACGAGACACCAGAACCAATACATCACGGGAGACCAGTCCCAATACATCACGAGACACCAGTACCAATACATCACGAGACACCAGAACCAATTCATCACGGGATACCAGTACCAATACATCACGGACACCAGCGCCAATATAACTCGAGACACCAGAACCAATACATCACGAGACAGCAGTACCAATACATCACGAGACACCAGTACCAATACATCACGAGACACCAGTACCAATACATCACGTGACACCAGTACCAATACATCACGAGACACCAGTACCACTACATGACGAGACACCAGAACCAATACATCACGAGATACCAGCACCAGTACATCACGGGACACCAGTACCAATACATCACGAGACACCAGTACCAATACATCACGTGACACCAGAACCAATACATCACGAGACACCAGTTCCAATACATCACGAGACACCAGTACCAATACATCACGAGACACCAGAACCAATACATCACGGGACACCAGTACCAATACATCACGAGATACCAGTACCAATACATCACGGGACACCAGTACCAATACATCACGAGACACCAGAACCAATACATCACGAGACACCAGTACCAATACATCACGAGACACCAGTACCAATACATCACGAGACACCAGTACCAATACATCACGAGACACCAGTACCAATACATCACGAGACACCAGTACCACTACAAGACGAGACACCAGAACCAATACATCACGAGATACCAGCACCAAGACATCACGGGACACCAGTACCAATACATCACGAGACACCAGAACCAATACATCACGGGACACCAGTACCAATACATCACGAAGCCCCAGAACCAATACATCACGGGACACCAGTACCAATACATCACGAGACACCAGAACCAATGCATCACGGGACACCAGTACCAATACATCACGAGACACCAGTACCAATACATCACGAGACACCAGTACCAATACATCACGAGACACCAGTACCAATTCATCACGGAGACCAGTCCCAATACATCACGAGACACCAGTACCAATACATCACGAGACACCAGAACCAATACATCACGGGATACCAGTACCAATACATCACGGGACACCAGTACCAATATATCACGAGACACCGGAACCAATACATCACGAGACACCAGTACCAATACATCACGAGACACCAGTACCAATACATCACGAGACACCAGTACCAATACATCACGTGACACCAGTACCAATACATCACGAGACACCAGTACCACCACATGACGAGACACCAGAACCAATACATCACGAGATACCAGCACCAGTACATCACGGGACACCAGTACCAATACATCACGAGACACCAGAAACAATACATCACGAGACACCAGTACCAATACATCACGAAGCACCAGAACCAATACATCACGGGACACCAGTACCAATACATCACGAGACACCAGAACCAATACATCACGAGACACCAGTACCAATACATCACGGGACACCAGTACCAATACATCACGAGACACCAGAAACAATACATCACGAGACACCAGTACCAATACATCACGAGACACCAGAACCAATACATCACGAGACCAGTACCAATACATCACGAGACACCAGTACCAATACATCACGTGACACCAGAACCAATACATCACGAGACACCAGTACCAATACATCACGAGACACCAGAACCAATTCATCATGGAGACCAGTCCCAATACATCACGAGACACCAGAATCAATACATCACGGAACACCAGTACCAATACATCACGACATACCAGTACCAATACATCACGGGACACCAGTACCAATATAACTTGAGACACCGGAACCAATACATCGGGAGACACCAGTACCAATACATCACGAGACACCAGAACCAATACATCACGAGACACCAGTACCAATACATCACGAGACACCAGTACCAATACATCACGTGACACCAGTACCAATACATCACGAGACACCAGTACCAATACATCACGAGACACCAGAACCAATACATCACGAGATACCAGTACCAATACATCACGGGACACCAGTACCAATACATCACGAGACACCAGAACCAATACATCACGGGACACCAGTACCAATACATCACGAAGCACCAGAACCAATACATCACGAGACACCAGAACCAATACATCACGAGACACCAGAACCAATACATCACGGGACACCAGTACCAATACATCACGAGACACCAGTACCAATACATCACGAGACACCAGAACCAATACATCACGGGACACCAGTACCAATACATCACGAGATACCAATACAATACATCACGAGACACCAGTACCAATATACATCACGAGACACCAGAACCAATACATCACGAGACACCAGTACCAATACATCACGAGACACACCAGAACCAATACATCACGAGACACCAGTACCAATACATCACGAGACACCAGTACCAATACATCACGAGACACCAGTACCACTACATGACGAGACACCAGAACCAATACATCACGAGATACCAGCACCAATACATCACGAGACACCAGAACCAATACATCACGAGACACCAGAACCAATACATCACGAGACACCAGTACCAATACATCACGAGAACACCAGAACCAATACATCACGAGACACCAGAACCAATACATCACGAGACACCAGAACCAATACATCACGAGACACCAGTACCAATACATCACGAAACACCAGTACCAATACATCACGAGACACCAGTACCAATACATCACGGGATACCAGTACCAATACATCACGAGACACCAGTACCAATACATCACGAGACACCAGAACCAATTCATCACGGGAGACCAGTCCCAATACATCACGAGACACCAGTACCAATACATCACGTGACACCAGTACCAATACATCACGAGACACCAGTACCAATACATCACGAGACACCAGTACCAATACATCACGAGACACCAGTACCAATACATCACGGGACACCAGTACCAATACATCACGAGACACCAGTACCACAATACATCACGAGACACCAGTACCAATACATCACGAGACACCAGAACCAATACATCACGAGATACCAGCACCAATACATCACGGGACACCAGTACCAATACATCACGAGATACCAGCACCAATACATCACGAGACACCAGTACCAATACATCACGAGACACCAGTACCAATACATCACGAGACACCAGTCTCAATACATCGGGAGACACCAGAGCCAATACAACAGGGGATACCAGTCTTAATACATCACTTGACACCAGTACCAATACATCACGTGACACCAGTCCCAATACATCACGTGACACCATTCCCAATACATCACGAGACACCAGTCCCAATACATCACGAGACACCAATACCAATACATCACGAAACACCAGTACCAATATTGGCTTGTTACTTACATTGTATTTGGGCCGCTAATAAAAGTACATTTCTACGACTGTATAGACTTCGGTACATGTCCTATTATCTATATGTCGAGACGTAACATAAAGTCGTGACGTAACATTTTACAGGGCATATGAACAGCTATAACCTATCGAACACCACCCTCGAGTTATCTTTTATCACAGATTGTGCAGATTCCCAACCCAGTGACACTGACAGATGATGGAGTGATACTCATACAAGCCTGCACTGGACGGTACGTGCATATTAATACTTGCTATGCTTAATACAACATACAGTGTAACGACATTTCTGAATATTTAGGGGCGGTGGGATAGCCTAATGGTTAAAGCGTTAGCTCGTCACGCCGAAGACCCGGGTTCGATTCCCCACATGGGTACAATGTGTGAAGCCCATTTCTGGTGTCCCCCGCCGTTATGTTGCTGGAATATTGCTAAAAGCGGCGTAAAACCAAACTCAGTCAGTCAGTCAGTCAGTCAGTCAGTCAGAATATTTAAATCAATTAAGTGGAAAGTAAATAGCAGAGAGAGAGAGAGACAGAGAGAGAGACAGAGAGAGAGGAGGGGAGGTATATCGAATTCATTTTATGGGAAAATGTTTTTCACCAGAATATTACCTTTTCTTTTGACAGCAATTCCTTTGTTTCCACCAAGAAGCTAATGTTATCAATGTTTGTTGGTCTAATAGCATATGCAATTTTAACCAAGTTATTATAATCAGCCACTCCCTCTCAAACCTGATGTCTCAGTGTGAAAGCTACCAACAGGTTCACAGGAGCATGCTTCAAACGAATGAGTTGTTAAAATTGATTCAATATGGCAGGTGACATGGGAACCTGCCAGATTATTATATGTCAGTGTTTTCCTTTTATTGGAAACGCGTTATACTGTTAGTATTAACAACAGATATATATCCGCCTGTTTATATATATTATAATGCAGCGGCGTAAAACAAGACTCACTGTATCATAAGCTTATCTCTCCCACTACACTGCTGTCGGCGATGAAGACCTCTATATGATCCCAGCATGATGTGTGGTGTGTCGCCACTCTGATTAGATAAACGCTGCAGGAGTTTGTGTAAACAGATAACAGAATGTGTTAACAGATAACACAAGATTCCTTTGTCGACATCACACAAGTACGGTCAATCAGTAACCGATGTTACGCAAGCAAGAACCCTGCTAACAGTGAAATATTAACCGCAAGTAAGAGCCCTGCTAACAATCAAATAGTAACCGTGGGTAAGACTACCATAGTCCTTTAGGACAGGTGTTATAATTACAAGCAGGAAGTCATATCACACACGTAAGGACCTTACTAACAGTCCTACAGGTACAGAGGTTATAATTACAAGCAGGAAGTCATATCACACACGTAAGGACCTTACTAACAGTCCTACAGGTACAGAGGTTATAATTACAAGCAGGAAGTCATATCACACACGTAAGGACCTTACTAACAGTCCCTACAACAGTCCTACAGGTACAGAGGTTATAATTACAAGAAGTCATATCACACACGTAAGGACCTTACTAACAGTCCTACAGGTACAGAGGTTATAATTACAAGCAGGAAGTCATATCACACACGTAAGGACCTTACTAACAGTCCTACAGGTACAGAGGTTATAATTACAAGCAGGAAGTCATATCACACACGTAAGGACCAGTTACTAACAGTCCTACAGGTACAGAGGTTATAATTACAAGCAGGAAGTCATATCACACACGTAAGGACCTTTACTAACAGTCCTACAGGTACAGAGGTTATAATTACAAGCACATATCACACGTAAGGACCTTACTAACAGTACAGGACCTTTACTAACAGTCCTAACAGTCCTACAGGTACAGAGGTTATAATTACAAGCAGGAAGTCATATCACACACGTAAGGACCTTTACTAACAGTCCTACAGGTACAGAGGTTATAATTACAAGCAGGAAGTCATATCACACACGTAAGGACCTTACTAACAGTCCTACAGGTACAGAGGTTATAATTACAAGTCATATCACACTAATGTAAGGACCTTTACTAACAGCCCTACAGGTACAGAGGTTATAATTACAAGCAGGACAAGCAGGACAGTCATAATTACAAGCAGGAAGTCATATCACACACACGTAAGGGACCTTACTAACAGTCCTACAGGTACAGAGGTTATAATTACAAGCAGGAAGTCATATCACACACGTAAGGACCTTACTAACAGTCCTACAGGTACAGAGGTTATAATTACAAGCAGGAAGTCATATCACACACGTAAGGACCTTACTAACAGTCCTACAGGTACAGAGGTTATAATTACAAGCAGGAATTCATATCACACACGTAAGGACCTTACTAACAGTCCTACAGGTACAGAGGTTATAATTACAAGCAGGAAGTCATATCACACACGTAAGGACCTTACTAACAGTCCTACAGGTACAGAGGTTATAGTCAGATGAACCTGTGTCACTTGATGGGGCCATTAAATGACGTTTCATTACCAGAAACATATTTTACAAAAATTACCAGTATCCCAGTCCTGTTCCTCGTTTAAAATCTCAAAATATTTTGTAAAAAGACGAGATTGCACTATGGTGACATAGGTCAGTCAATGAACTAACTACAGGTGTACTTGTGTTAAAGCGAGGTCATTAAGATAACATGATCCTGTATTGATCGCCTTGACAACTTGAAACTTCGATAATGACGACGATTATCATTTTTTTTCATAACAAAAAGCGTTTCTGTGAATTAGTAGATAATTCAAATGTGTACATCGTGGTTCCATGCCTCGTACTGACTTTAACTGACCAAGTATTACCCTTTTCTACTGCCATGGTAGAATGTGCAGTTATATTAACATCCATACCATGTTATTTAGATTCCTCCTCAATGTCAGAGGTGCCTCACTACAGGATGAGGAACATCACAGTCCTGGCTGCTGCTGCGATGACGGTAACTTTCCAGTGTTATAACTTATAATTGATATATGATATATCGATATATGAATATATATCTCCTGCAGCGGTGATAGTAACGCATAGTTTCCAGTATTATGATTGATATACCATATATCGTTATAGAAATATTGTTCAGAAAACAGTGAACGATTGCCATTCAAGCCGGCAATTTATGCCTGAATGCATGCATGATGCACGTGCATCTCGATTTTAATGTTGTGTTTGTGCAAAATCTTCCCTTTCCACATTAAAAACCATTTCAAACATCAATCTCAAACAATACTTTATTGGGCAAAACGGCCATGATTCATGTTTTCCCCAAACTTGACTTCCGGTGTATGTTTAAAAAAATTAGGTTCAAATACTCCATTGAGACTTTAACGTCATTTCCAATATTGCGATGTTTCTTTTGCCTCTCAGTATATATATTCTGTCTGCATATTCACAGATAGTGTCCTCAGCTACGAGTGTCACTGGAAGTTTCTTCACATTGGGTAAATATTGAAACACTGTCATGTAAATCACAAAGTCTCAAAGGGTATGGATTACACGTATAAGTCGAAAAAGCAGTTGTTTTCAAAAGATACACCATGCTTCAACATAGGTGATTTCAGTAGCGTAGTCTACAATAGCATACAAATACATTAGTATATATATAGTTGTCAACAACATCCCTACTCTTTGAGATCGTGGACATAAAAACACAGGTATCACAATCCTGACGTTAATATTACATTTACATCACGTCTGTACCCTGTTCAGACTGTGTGAGCAGGGACCTGGCCTTCCTTTGTACAGACACCGCCGATTATGACGTTGCATTGCCCCCAGGATGCAACGCGGTAGGGACAGGGGGCAACTATAGCCTCACAACACACTGCTTCGGCGACACGGTAAGTTCTACAGCATTACGCTTCCACCGTCAACTCTGTCCAACTATTTCATGCAGTTGGTATCTATCTTTATCATCCATAACTGTGTTCCACAGGAGATATCGCTTGTGTGAGATCATATGATATCTCCTAGGATCTATCTTTTGACAGTAGATTTGGTATAATCCCTATGCTATGACGTCATCAACTTATGACGTCACAATCTATCTCGCTGCATCTGCAAGTCTATCCAGTGTTGAGAGATGTACATCTTCATTGAAAACTAATGAAGAATGATTTTTGATGATAAATAGAATCTCACCCTCGTGTTTACATATCTTATATCAACACTCGTTGATCTATCTATCTATATCCTCGGCAAGCCTCGGATATCTATCTTTATAAACTCATGTTTATATAATTGATCTCATCTATCTATCTAGATTCTCTATATCTATCTATCCATCTCTCCATCCATCCATCCATCTATCTATCTATCTATCTATCTATTTATCTATCTATCTATCTATCCATCCATCTCTCCATCCATCCATCCATCCATCCATCCATCCATCCATCCATCCATCCATCTATCCATCCATCCATCTATCTATCTATCTATCTATCTATCTATCTATCCTGGTACAGAAAGTCTTTGTGGTCTTCCGTAAACTGAACGATACCTCCTACCATCTGACCGGGGGCAGAGGCACGAGGTTATTCACCGTTACCTGTGAGGAGAAGCTCACGCAAGATGGGGCACCTGCAACTGTAACAACAGTCGTCAACGTACACGCGTGAGTTTAGGCCGGTGTACTCAGGTAGTGCCACTCACTCACTCAAGTACCCTCATGATCACTTAAGCACTCAATCACTAACTTAGGCACATATTCAAGCACGTACCCAAGCAAAAACACCGACCTATGTTGTACACCTTAAGATGCCGCTCATCCACTCACTCACTCATTCACGCACTTAAGCACTTATCCAACCACCTACCCAACCTTCCCAAACAGTGCACCGTAAGGTGCCGCTCACTCAAACACTCACTCACTCATTTAACCATCCACTCACCCACTGACCCACTCATCCACCCACTCACTCACTCACTCACCCACTCACTCACTCAACGACCCACTCACTCACTCAAACACATAACCACCCACAAACCCACCTACCAACTCCCTCTCCCAAGAACCCAACCACTCACCAATCCACTCACATACTCACCAACCTTCAAACAATGTACTCACTCCTATTTACGACAGAGATGCTACCAACGATCATCTGCATGTACATGTGCCGGTATCTGGGCTGACGATGTTGGTAACGACTGACGATCCGGCGGAGTCGTCAGCAGATCTGCACCCTGTGACAGGGGAGGTTAACCTGGGCCAGAAGATGTTCCTTGTCATCAGATCAAAGAAATCAGGTAAAATGATATTAGTTGATCTAACTCTGTTAGAAAGTCAACACTTGTAAAGTAAACCAATGTCCGAGTCGGAGAGTCCGTGGACAGACGACCGTGATCGGCAACCTGACTCCTGTGTGTTTCAGTGTCTTTAGTCGCACAATGTACAACATGAGGCACAGACCGCCTCCGTGGTGTAGTGGTTAGAGCGTCCTCCCGGAGTGCGGAAGGTTGTGGGTTCGATCCCCGACCGCGTCATACCAAAAGACGTTAAAATATGGTAGTTGTTGATCCCTGCCTGGCGCTCGGCATTAATGGGTGCAACAAGGACTGGTCGGCTCGGAGTCAGTATGATGTGTCTGAGTGGGGTATTCATGCTTCACTGTGGCATGGTATCTCAGTGGGCTAGCACTATAAAACCAGCTTCAGTCTGGGCTAGTACAAGCAGCCGCACATACACATACACACGCATGCACGTCGTCATATGAACGAAATATTCTCAAGCACGACGTTAAACCCAATTCCACCACCACCACCACATGAGGCACAGTGCTGTCTCTTTGTGTAGAGACCTGTGAAGATAGAACTGGTCTTCAGTAACCCATGCTTGTCGTAAGAGGCGACTAACGGAATCGGTTGATCAGGCTAGCTGACTTGGTTGACACATGGCATCGTATCCCAAATGGTCAAGCTATTGATCACTGGATTGTGTGGTCAAGACTCGATTATTTACAGACCGCCGCCATATAGCTGGAATATTGCTGAGTGCGCCGTATAACTAAATTCACTCACTCACTCCTGGGGTAGAATACGTCTTCAGAATTGCAATGTGCAATAATTGGGAACTTCTTGTTTCTTCAACGGAACAAACATGATGCTGTGGTCGGTTTATCTCATAATATGTGATAAATGAATTAGTGAGTGAGCTTAGGTTTACGCCGCTTTTAGCAATATGCCAATAATATCACGGCGAGTGACACCAAAAATGGGCTTCACACATTGTACCCATGTGGGGAATCGAACCCATGTCTTCGGCGCGAAGAGCTAACGCTTTAACCACTGGGCTACCCTACTGCCCCTATGGATTAAATATACCTCTACGGGAATGAATATGTCACAATGTCATTACATGTATGTAATATATAAGATATACCCTGTGTGCTTCAGGTCAAGGTCAGTTCTTCCTACCTCGTCATTGCATAGCCAAGTCAGGCCCTCCCCTAAACCTTACACTCCCTCTGTGGAACGATACGTCAACACACAGGTAATGTATATAACAGCTTACTGTTGACTCACGTCAGTTGTTGACTCACTACTCGCAGTCTAAACCAATTTCCCACGTTAGATAACGGATTTTCACCTGACTATAGTCCGTTTGGCTCAAAATCGGACCGATGAATTGCAATCTAACTCGAAAACTACTAAACATATAATACTCAATGAAACGCCGATCATAATCAAAACATCAGAACAACTCTGTGATTTTTTTGCAGAATTTATGTCCTAAAAATAAAAATGTTGTTTAACAAACTATCATTAAAATTTTAACACGGTTCACTATTTGTTACGAGGGAGGACTGCAAAGAGAGGAACAGCCAGGTGTAAGCGGAGCACGTGCACAAGTGCCGACAAAGTTATTGAATCACTTACCTGTGCTGTGCTGTCGCCATCATTTCTCACACACCTGTACTATATGTTTATTAGTTTTCGAGTTAGATTGCAATTCATCGGTCCGATTATGAGCCAAACGTACGGACTATACACACAGAGAAGGGAGGGGGTGGGGTGGGGGGTTTCGGGTGGTAGGAGATTGATCTTCGTCACCTGGGTGAAACCCACGGAATAGGTACGGTGACAGATAAATGATTACCTCTTGCCAGGTGAATTTGTCCTGAATATGTCAAGCGTTTTCAAAAAGAAAGTAGACTAGAACGAGTCTACAATGTAATTAATGGTTCAGGGCCCCGTCTCACAAAACTCTCGTAGCGCTACGACTATCGTAAGTCAATGTTACAGTATAGGAGGTAGGAATGCTACGAGGAAAGTTACGAGATCTTAAGCTTACGTGAGCTTTGTGAAACGGGGCCCTGACCACGACTATGAAACCCGGGTTATATACTAATCACACTTTGCTAAGGATCACAAAAAAATCACAACTTTACTTCAACGTAGATTCATAATTTGAAAGTGTATCCATTTAAAACTGGACAAATAATAATATGGTAACCCCTCTTTAGGCAAACAGTCACTTTAATCTAACCTTATGCACCTGATACATGAGTAACCATAAAAATGGTTTTCATGGCACCAATCAACCATTTTGAAAAAATCATGGAACGAGTCAGTGTCAAGTACACAACACCTGTCAATAGCAGGTATGGGATCCACAAGATGCAGTGACATACTGAAACCTAGGATCCATGCTTACAATAGGCTTAGATATTTAAACCAAATTTGACCCCACATCATAGTTTTCTGTTGAATCCATGATTTGATCCTTAGCAAAGTGTGAATAGTATATATAAAACAAAAACAGCAGGTGCCGTAAACGTTTTAACGGTCAACAGCACTTAACATCTAACTCGACCAATACAGCTACTCATTGCTGCGTGTTGAATCTCATGTTGAAACCTAAAAGTTAACCGGGAATCAGCCCATAAAAGAACTAGGTGCCAAACCATCCTAAAGAAAGAAATGAGCCATAATTAACAAGTTCAATATTGAATTCAATAATCTGACTAATTTCACAAATCAAAACAAATCAGTACAAATGTATGACTATTGCAGTATAAAATTGCGTGTCACTACAAATTGTGAGGTACTAAACACAAGAGCAGTGATTGTAGCACTTAGTCTATCAACCTCTCAGCAACACTAATCCAACTTGAAACTAGTGAGTGAGTGAGTGAAGTTGGTTTTAACGCCGCTCTTAGCAATATTCCAGCAATATCACTTCGGGTGACACCAAAAACGACTAGGGCGAGGCAGGGTATATACCTATATGATTATCACAGACAATGCTGGTCTGCTGGTGACTTGAGATGTAATCTGATGAGTGAACGTTCATTTTATACCCCCCTGGAATAGTCCGTTTGAGTGAACTCTCATTATATACCCCCGTGGAATAGTCCGTTTGATAGGCATTTTAGAAGTTGATCAGTTATAAGAAAGTTAGATACTTTGTGGAAGGTATAAGAGTCTATACCGAAATGTCGCATCATAATACATGTATAATAAAGATGTTGCCATTTATCTTACTTTTTTATCCTCTGGAATATTATTGAATGAGCTTGTATCTAAATTGTTTAGTCTCCCTCACAGTCAGTGAACCACATTATTTTCCCTACTGCCTAGCCCTCCCTGCAATGATAAAGCCCTAAATGAAGCAAGTCTAGAATCTCCCCATTCAGGCACTAAGCGTTAGTCTACAAATCATTCTAGGCTGTTCACAGCATCTGGAGAAGCCTTTTGAGTTGTAGCACAAGGCTAAATATAGCCCAAGGTTAAATATATTACACCACGGAAACTCACTGAATCTAGAAGAACAATGAATAACAGGTGAAACATTGTTGTACATCATGTAACACTGCCTGACAACATACTACAGTGGGTATTTCGTACAGTCACTGCATCGACCACCCCAGCCTTGCTGACGAGTTCACCGTCTATAGAAACGGCAGACACGGCTACAACCTGGCGTTTCTTCCAGTCTACGCATTCTACTTCCAGCAGTTGTACGTCCACAACAACGTCGTCACCTACACCTGCTCCGTCACCGTGTGTCCAGACACTGCAGGACCAGGACACTGTAACCAGGTGAGCTATCACTGGTTGTCTGGGATACTGTAACCAGGTGAGTCACGCTGGTAGTGTGGGATTATGCTATTAGGTGAGCTATCGCTGGTAGTGTGGCATATTGTAACTAGGTGAGCTATTACTGGTAGTGTGGAAACTGTAACCAGGTGAGCTACCGCTGGTAGTGTGGCATATTGTAACTAGGTGAGCTATCACTGGTAGTGTAGAATACTGTATCCAGGTGAGCTATCATTGGTAGTGTGGGAAACTGTAACCAGGTGAGCTATCACTGGTAGAGTAGGACACTGTATCCAGGGGATCTATCACTGGTAGAGTAGGATACTGTATCCAGGTGAGCTATCACTGGTAGAGTAGGGTACTGTATCCAGGTGAGCTATCACTGGTAGTGTAGAATACTGTATCCAGGTGAGCTATCACTGGTAGAGTAGGGTACTGTATCCAGGTGAGCTATCACTGGTTGTCTGGGATACTGTAACCAGGTGAGCTATCACTGGTAGAGTAGGATACTGTATCCAGGTGAGCTATCACTGGTAGTGTGGGAAACTGTAACCAGGTGAGCTATCACTGGTAGAGTAGGATACTGTATCCAGGTGAGCTATCACTGGTAGTTTACAATACTGCAACCAGGTGATCTATCTTTGGTAGTCTGGGATACAGTAACTAGGTGAGGTATCGCCGGTAATGTGGGATACTGTAGCCAGGTGAGGTATCACTGGTAGTGTAGGATACTGTTACCAGTGGAACTATTGCTGGTAGTGTAGGATACTGTAACCAGATCTATGCTCATGAATGCTGGATTGTCTGGTCCAGACTCGATTTTTTACAGACCCCCGCCATATAGCTGGAATATTGCTGAGTGCGTCGTTGAACAAACCAACTTCAGGATCGAGTGATGTGTCCATCAACGTACTACGTCTGCAGGGAGTGAGTGTGTTTAGTTTTACGCCGCTTTTAGCAATATTCCAGTAATATCACGGCGGGGGACACCAGAAATGGGCTTCACACATTGTACCCATGTGGGGAATCGCTTTAACCACTGGGGTACCCCACCGCCCCTGAGTCTGGAGATTATACTACTACTATATATTTCAGGAATTACAGCGACTATCTTCCAACAAAACACAGTGCATCAAGCAGGGACTAGCGACTGCACGGAAACGTCGTGAAGTGGAGTCGACGTCAACATCGCACACGACGACCCTGTCAGTTACAGTCAGAATAAGTAACTTCAACCTTGGCCAGGCGAAGGAAGGTTGGTTCCAGAGAAACATCAGTTGAAGCTGAAGCATTAAGCATTAACCGCTTCACGAACACGACTGCAGCTGCCACTTTTGTAGCATAAAATATTATAATATAATCGTTGCTTCGATTATTTAGTCGGTGCTTGGGTGCGTATACTCGTTATTTCAAATATTTTGCTTTGAGTATTTTCTCGTTTCTTCGATTAATTTCTCGTTGCTTCGAGTATTTTCTCATTACTTCAGGTTTCTTTAGAAACGTGAAATTTCGAGGATTTTCACTTTCCTTCGATTATTTTCTCTTTGATTCGGGTATTTTCTCGTAATTTTAAATATTTAAGCATTTTCTCGTTACTTTAATAAATTTCTCGTTGCTTCGAGTATGTTATCGTTACTTCAAACATTTTCTCGTTACTTCAAGTTTCTTTCAAAAACCCAAAGCAACGAGAAAATAACTTAAACAACAAGGAAATGATTGAAACAACGAGACAATATTCATAAGCACCGATAAAATAATCGAAGCAGCGAAAATTTGCGCTGAAGAATATTTTATGCTACAAAAGTGTCAGTATTTGGCTTTCGTACCACAGCAATATGTTTCAGCCAAGATAATAGTTTTACTTTATGTTACACCTGAGATTTTGGCTTCCAATGTTTTCGATATCTGATGCTTTGTTCTGTATAGAGTTGGGTACCGACTGGAACAATGGGGCAAAAGATGTAAAATAAAACGTTTATTCTTGTACAATGAGGATGAAATAAATTTGCATAAGAATTGGTTTATATTGACATATGGACGGGGGGCAAAGAAAGTACATGTATGTACCCATGTTTGACGATGGCTAAAATGAAACAAACAGAAAATATCCTCTGATGGTGATGATCTGATATGAGTATCTTTGGTGAGGTGAGGTGAGGTCAGATGAGGTTAAATTGGGTTTAACGTCGTGCTTGAGAATATTCCGCTCATATGACGACGTGCATACGTGTGTATGTGTATGTGCGGCTGCTTGTACTAGCCCAGACTGAAGCTGGTTTTATAGTGCTAGCCCACTGAGATACCATGCCGCAGTGAAGCATGAATACCCCACTCAGACACATTATACTGACTCCGAGCCGACCAGTCCTTGTTGTACCCATTAATGCCGAGCGCCAGGCAGGGACCAACAAGTACCATATGTAACGTCTTTTGGTATGACGCGGTCGGGGATCGACCTTCCGCTCTTCGGATCTTCGGCCGTATCACATGTACATGTGTTATCTCAAGGAGTATCTCATAACGGTGTGCACATGGAGTGTCAAAATGTCACAGTAATTGGTAATGAGCAAGGTAAAATTATGAATTTTCAAGAGTACACCTTCTTTGACCCGTAAGGAACTATGATGGTGGTGGTGCTATAGCTTAAGGGATAAATAAGAGTGAGTGAGTTTAATTTTACGCCGTTTTAGCAATATTCAAGCAATATGACGGTGGGGGACACCAGAAAGGTGCTTCACACATAGTACCCATGTGGGGAATCGAACCCGGGTCTTCGGCATGGAGAGCGAACTCTTAAAAATGTGCAGAGTTGCGTCACTTGGTTGTACCAGGATCCGTGTGTTGTTTTGCATCGTAGTTCAGGAATCGTAGGTTCCTCAGGTGATACAATGCCATCTTGGATCCGCATCCCTCCTAACTGACATCATCTGTTCTCAATCATGCTTACAGGCCGTGATGTAATTGAATTTTAGTTCCACGCTACGTTAAACATAACCCACACGAAATAATCCAATCTATGTGTATTTCATACAGGGTCGTCGTCGTCAGGTGTTGTAATCATCGCAGCAACAGGCGGCGTTGTAGTTTCGGTCATCGTCATCGTCGTGGTGTGTGCAGTGATGCGGATGGTGGTGACAAGACGTCGAAACAAGCATAAAGGACGTTTACAACGACCAGAATCTGGGACAGAACTGAGAAAATTCTGAATACAGGAAGTCACAGTATTAATGTACGTTTTTGTCTGAAGAACAAGCCAAGACCCTTTGTTGTATTGCTCAGGGTGCCGTTGTACAAAACGATCTTAGCGCTAAGGTGATCGTAACTCCCATACAACACCATGGTCTTACGACTGGCGCACCGCTAAGGCTGCTATGTACAACGGCACTCAGAACCACAATGCAGAGAAAGAAACAAAGATGTTGTCAGCATTGTGTCAGAAAACTAGACGAACCAGCATTGAAATTGCTATATCATGTGCTATTAAAACAATGTCCGTCAGAACTTGTCTCATCTGGTCTCTCTCTAGTTATGTTCTCAGGCCTGCTAGAAAGTTATTGTTGTGGGTTCGAATCCCTTAATCGCCATGCTTATATGTCTTGGTTTGTTTGCACCATAGACATGTTCCTTCAAGGTTGCACTCTCACACCAATCACTAACTGATAATATTCTTAACTGAAATACGAACCAAGGCACATATAACTGACTGAGTTTGGTTTTACGCCGCTTTTAGCAATATTCCAGCAATATCACGGCGGGGGACACCAGAAATGGGCTTCACTCATTGTACCCATGTGGGGATTCGAACCCGGGTCTTCGGCGTGACGAGCCAACGCTTTAACCACTAGACTACCCCACCGCCCCACATATAACTAAAAGCTCAGTCTCGTACTCAATCATTCCCTCATTCACTAAACTAGTTATTGCAACTCTGGAATGTTTAAAACAGGGGGTATTTGACTAAAGGCTCCCTCTCTAACTCACTCATTCACTCACTTACCAGGCGCGTAGCAAGCCAAATCTTTCGTATAAGCCAGATAGGTTGCAAAGCTTTATATTTAGATAGTATTGAGGGCTTGCCCAGCCTTTTTAGCAAAAAACATGTGTAAGCCCGGGTTTTTTCATAATGGGAGCTACGCCCCTGCTCACTAACTAAAGGCTCCCTCTTTAACTCATTCACTAAATTAGTTGTTGTAATACCTAACCGGAAGGTTTAAAACAGGGGGTATTTAACTAAAGGCTCACTCTCCACATCGAACTCACTCATTCACTAAACTAGTTGTTGCAATACCTAACTTGAATGTTTTCAAAGGGATATTAACTAAAGGCTCACTCTCCACATCTAACTCACTCATTCACTAAACTAGTTGTTGCAATACCTAACCGGAATGTTAAAACAGGGGGTATTTAACTAAAGGCTCCCTCGCTAACTCATTCACTAAACTAGTTGTTGCAATACCTAACCGGAATGTCCGGATTTCGATCATACCACTACTGCAGACCCAAACAGAAGCATTTGGGTAGGTACAGCGGCGGAGTGTCTGTTTTTGTGAAACCCGATATTGACGAGTATATGTACAGAGTGCTTGAAGATTGTGAAGATTGTGTTGTTCTTTTGTTTCAATCCACGAGACTTGGACTTGACAAAGATATTGTGTTAATGTTTGTCTACATATCACCTGAAAACTCCCCTATATACATTGGTAAGGATTTTGATGGCATTCAGCGTTTGGAACAATATGTCGAAACCATAAAGCATAATTTTTATCAGCATCATATATTACTTGTGGGTGATTTTAATGCAAGAATGAAAACATTTTTAGATTATATTCCCTGTGATGACCTCTACTATGTCCAAAACAACAGTGAGGACTACCCAAGTGATAACTTCCAAACTCCGCGCAATACGAAAGACAATATTAGATATAACAACTATGGAGTATCCCTTGCAGAAATGTGTTGTACACATGGTCTACATACTTTGAATGGAAGGTAGATGATGATAAGGAAGGCAACTTCACCTGTGTGACCCATGATGGTGCTAGTGTTGTGGATTACTTCCTAGCAAGTGCTGATCTATTCCCCTATTTCAGCTCTTTTGGTATTCATGAAAGAGACGAGTCAAAACATTTCCCTCTATATTGTTCTATTGATCTTCCTGGTGCAGCTTCAACTCAAAGGTGTAAAGATAACAATTCCAATCAGTCATGTGTTATGGATCAAGAGGCATGGATAAAATACAACTGGTCCCCTGAAATGTACAACATATTTCTAGTCGATTTTCATGAATTGTTTATGATGCAGTATGACACAATACATAAACAGATTGAAGAAAATGTGGAAGAAAGTGTCAAAGCATTAACTGATCTCTACCAGGCTGCAGCAGATAAATTCAAGAGAGTTTACAATAATTCTCTTTCCATGTATTCCAAGCAGCCCCCCTGGTGGGACTCCGAATTAGAGCATATCAAACAAAAGAAATACTCAGCTCTTAGAGCACATAGATCAAGGGGTGAAAACATTGATTCATATATATGTCAAAAGAAACTTTTCAAATCTACATTTCAACTGAAGAAAGACTTATATTATCAAGATCAAAGGAGAAAACTTAGTGACTCAAGAAATGACCCTAAACAATTCTGGAGCGTATTAAAATCAAATTCAATTTCTCGTTCAGAGACTCCTAATATCCCTGTAAATGAATGGCATGATCACTTTCGGAACCTTTTATATTGTGAATCTGCCAATAATGTTATCGAAGAGACATTATGTGAGGATATAAAAGACAACATGGCATCACAGTTGAATGATCCCTTTTCAGAACATGAAGTGTTTTCTAGTCTTCAAAACGTTAAGAGTGGCAAATCAGCAGGACCAGATGGCATAGCCGGTGACTTTTTCAAGGCTTCTAAAAGTTATATTGCACCATTATTAACTAAACTATTCAATAAGTTAGTTGAAGATGGCATTTTCCCTGAGACTTGGGGAAAGAGTATCATCTGCCCCTTGCATAAATCTGGAAGCAAACTGGACCCAAACAATTTCAGAGGTATTATTTTGATCAACTCAATGTGTAAAATTCTTACTTCCATAATCAATAACAGATTACAACAATGGTGTGATGACAACAACATAATCTCAGAGTTTCAAGCTGGCTTTAGACATGGTTATTCAACCACTGACCATATATTCACCTTACAAGCTATGGCAACCAAGTATTTATCAAAAAAGAAGGGGAAATTCTATTGTTTGTTCATAGACTTTACCAAAGCTTTTGACTGCATTAATCATCAAATATTGTTTAGGAGTCTTGTGAGCATTGGTGTGAAGGGGAAATTTATGAAATTTATCATCAAGATGTACTCATCATTATGTGCTTGTGTCAGAACTGATACTGGATTATCATCTTATTTCAACTGTAATGTTGGCACAAGGCAAGGATGTATTTTAAGTCCTCAAATTTTCATTATTTTTATAAATCAACTGTCACAAATGCTGGAGAATGATGGTGGAAGAGGTATTTTTATATCTTCACAAGCCAAGGATGTTTATTCTCTCCTATTTGCTGATGACAGTGCTATGCAGCCCCAAAGGAAAATTAATGTTGTTGAAAGGTTTTGTGCAGAGACTGGAATGAAGGTGAACCTGAAAAAGACTAAAATACTGGTATTTCGCAATGGAGGTCCGCTCAGGGATTATGAGAAGTGGTTTTTAAATGGAACACAAATTGAGGTTGTTAATATGTATAGATACTTAGGTATTGTGTTTACTCCAAGATTATCATGGACAAAAGCGAAAACCTGTTTATCGTCTCAAGCGAGGAAGGCCATATTTTCTATCAACAATTATCAAAAATGTTTTGGATATATTAACCATCATGATTTGTTTAAGATATTTGACTCTATGATTGCCCCAATACTCTGTTACGGATCTGAAATATGGGGAACAAGCTACTGTAAAATTATTGAAACTGTGCACACCAGATTTTGCAAGTCATTTCTTAAAGTCTGTAAAACTACCAATAACAACATGGTTCTGGGAGAGTGTGGGAGAGCTCCCCTCCAGTATCAATATATCTCAAGAGCAGTCAAGTACTGGTGCAGACTGATGCAGCTTCCACGAAACAGATTCCCTTATCAGGCATATCTAATGATGAAAACTCTAGACGATAATGGTAAAACAACATGGGCTTCTCATATTAGGTTGATATTATTCCAATATGGATTTGGTTGTTTATGGATATCTCAAGACATAGGCTGTATATCCACATTCATGGTAATTTTTAAACAGAGATTCAATGACTGCTTCACTCAAAACTGGCATGCATCACTATTTTCGTCACCCAAATGTAAATTCTATTCACAATTGAAATCATCTCTAAGCGTCGAACCATATTTAACCAGTGAATTGCTACCAAATCAACTCAGTTTCGGTGCTGTAACTTCAGACTCGCAGTGGAATGTGGCCGTCATACAAACACCCCATATAATGAACGTCTCTGCCTCTTTTGTCATGCTGCTGACCTTGATTACATCGAAGATGAATTCCATATTTTATTAATATGTCCAAAATATTCCCAACAAAGATCTGATTGTTTTTCAATATATCTGACTCAACAACCGACAATTGAAACCTTCATCCGATTGTTGTCATCAGACAATATACATATTTTAAAATCATTGAGTAAATATCTTTCACAAGTTCGCCTTAGAAGGAATGATTATCTGCAAAACAAATCAATACTAAACTTTACTTAGCTTTACTCAGTATGTATTTACTTTTGCCAAATGTATGTATCATGGGCCTAAATTACCGAATAAACCTGTCTGTCTGTCTGTCTGTCTAACCGGAATGTTTAAAACAGGGGGTATTTAACTAAAGGCTCCCTCGCTAACTCACTCATTCAGTTCACTGAACTAGTTGTTATAATTATTATTCCTAACCGAAAGGCTTACAAAGGGGATTCTCTAACTCACTCACTCACCAAACTTGGTGTTGAAATCTCTAACTGAAATACTTACAAATGGGCATTTAACTAACGGTTCACTCTCTTCCTCACTCATTAATTCACTCACTCACTAAACTAGGTGTAATATAACTGGAGTACCTACAAATGGGCATTTAAGTAAAGGCTAACTCTCTAACTCACTCATTCACTCACTCACTAAACTAGGTGTAATATAACTGGAGTACCTACAAATGGGCATTTAAGTAAAGGCTAACTCTCTAACTCACTCTTTCACTCACTCACTCACTAAACTAGGTGTTGTCATATAACTGGAGTACCTACAAATGGGCATTTAAGTAAAGGCTAACTCTTTAACTCACTCATTCACTCACTAACCCATCACCACTCAAGGGACCGCATATGGTGTAACGGCAAGAGAATTGACAAGTAATCTATCTAATATGATATCAGACAGCAAGTATATTAATTTTATTTCAGGTGATTACAAAAACGGACAGTGTAACATGTGATGAGGTGGAAGTTTCTGTAGTGGGAAAGGTAATGCAGCGCAGGTAATCCTGATGAGGACAATGAGTAGGCTATTCGGCACAAAATGGGGGTTAACATTCCGTGCGGATCCCGGGGGCTAAATGTAGACAGCTGTCAACAATCAGCTCATTCTCAACCAAGTGTCTCTCTTTAATCCTGTTTATCACTGTATTGTAGGTTCTCGTTTCCTTGAAGCATAACATTTGTCAAAACGAGGCATCTCGGTTGCTGTTTCGAGTCACTTGACTCCTGGTGGTTGTCACGGATACCAGCATACACGTCTGTAATGAAGTGATCGAGTGCGTAAGTGAGTGGGAAAATTATTTTTAGCAAATTTCCAGAAATATCACGGCGGGGGACACCAGACATGGCTTCATACATAGTACTCATGTCGGCAACCGAACTCGGGTCTCTCATTTGGCCTGACGGGCGAACGCTTTAACCATGGGACTACCCCACCACCCCTGTAATAAAGACAGGCGAATGCGATCTCTGGTGACAAAAGCTAGTCCGTTACACTAACTCTGACTGACTCCTGAATTAACACTGACTATGAATAACAAAACGGACAATCTCTCAATCTTGACAGTTGTGTATAAGACGCCTTGGCTCTTTGTGCGATTAAGTGGGTCCGTATACATAAATGAGTTCAGGAAATGTATATTGGAGAAGTCAATGAATGTGTAAACTGTCCAAACCTTACAACGTTGTAATTTTTATAACAAAGCAGTATTACATTTATGACATAACATATCTGCCTACCATCGCTTTTTAAAGGTATTTGCGGATTTTAACAGTTAGGCTGAGCTGTGTTTTATACATCCATAAACTAAAAACATAGTAAAGTCAGTTATAATTTTTTTTTCATGATTTTGTTTATTTCTATGTTCGTGAACACATTATACCAATTGTTCACTTAAGAGATAGACATACTTTGATGGAAAATCAGAGGCATATATCGAAATTCTAAAAGCTCTAATTTTTTTACACAGAACGTTTATTTCCATTCTACCATAACCGCGTTATTAAGATTTAAAAACAAATTCATACTGGGAAGTCAGAGGTATAAAACGTGATTATATGATTAAATACCTCTGAATGACTTTGATTAACCAATCACAATCCACTATTTACTGAAGTCATGGTAGAATCTCATAGGCGGATCCAGAAATTTTCAAAGGCTGTGTAGGTTCGACTCTCCCCCCCCCCCCCCTTTTGGATCCGCAACTGAATCTTCATTCACTCTCATGTTGTACTTTAAGATGGTTAGTTTTGTGAATATGGTACATCTCTTGTGTATACTCTCCAGGGAGTTGAGAATGAAAATCGAATGCAGACTGATCCACTGAAAATAATGCAGCAAAATGACTTTTAATTTGGTAATTTCTGTCAGTAATCGAGTCTGGACCAGACAATCCAGTGATTGACATCATGAGCATCGACACAATGACTTGCATGAACCAAGTCAGCGAGCCTGACCACCCGACACCGTTAGTAACCTCTTACGACAAGCATGGGTTACTGAAGACCAATTATAACCCGGGTCTCCTCGGGGCCACAAGGAAATATAGTGGAAATAATAGTGATAGTGAAATCGATGGTGTACACTATCGATTGATAGAATATCGATCTAGCCCACCGTGTTATGTGGATTAGTGATACTTATACAGTATACTTACCAAACCTGGGTTCAAAGTCCCTGCAAAACATTTATGATTTCATTAAACCATGAAGAGTGTTGGTACGAGATACTATGGAAGCGTATTATTATCATCATCTACGTAAACCATGAAGAGCGTTGGTACGAGATACTATGGAAACGTATTATTATCATCATCTACGTAAACCATGAAGAGCGTTGGTACGAGATACTATGGAAGCGTATTATTATCATCATCTACGTAAACCATGAAGAGTGTTGGTACGAGATACTATGGAAGCGTATTATTATCATCATCTACGTAAACCATGAAGAGCGTTGGTACGAGATACTATGGAAGCGTATTATTATCATCATCTACGTAAACCATGAAGAGTGTTGGTACGAGATACTATGGAAGCGTATTATTATCATCATCTACGTAAAACATGAAGAGCGTTGGTACGAGATACTATGGAAGCGTATTATTATCATCATCTACGTAAACCATGAAGAGCGTTGGTACGAGATACTATGGAAGCGTATTATTATCATCATCTACGTAAACCATGAAGAGCGTTGGTACGAGATACTATGGAAGCGTATTATTATCATCATCTACGTAAACCATGAAGAGCGTTGGTACGAGATACTATGGAAGCGTATTATTATCATCATCTACGTAAACCATGAAGAGTGTTGGTACGAGATACTATGGAAGCGTATTATTATCATCTACGTAAACATGAAGAGTGTTGGTACGAGATACTATGGAAGCGTATTATTATCATCATCTACGTAAACCATGAAGAGTGTTGGTACGAGATACTATGGAAGCGTATTATTATCATCATCTACGTAAAACATGAAGAGTGTTGGTACGAGATACTATGGAAGCGTATTATTATCATCATCTACGTAAACCATGAAGAGTGTTGGTACGAGATACTATGGAAGCGTATTATTATCATCATCTACGTAAACCATGAAGAGTGTTGGTACGAGATACTATGGAAGCGTATTATTATCATCATCTACGTAAAACATGAAGAGTGTTGGTACGAGATACTATGGAAGCGTATTATTATCATCATCTACGTAAAACATGAAGAGTGTTGGTACGAGATACTATGGAAGCGTATTATTATCATCATCTACGTAAACCATGAAGAGTGTTGGTACGAGATACTAAGGAAGCGTATTATTACATCATCTACGTAAACCATGAAGAGTGTTGGTACGAGATACTATGGAAGCGTATTATTATCATCATCTACGTAAACCATGAAGAGTGTTGGTACGAGATACTATGGAAGCGTATTATTATCATCATCTACGTAAACCATGAAGAGTGTTGGTACGAGATACCATGGAAGCGTTTTATTATCATCATCTACGTAAACATGAAGCATACAACTACATGGATGGCAAGTTCCTGTTTATTGCACAGAACGAGTTTTCGAATTGGATTCTTATATTGTTATCAAGCTAAAGGACTGTGCAATAAACAAATAGTTGTCATTCATAAAGTTGTATGCTTCATTTTTGACTCACCTGCTTCTAGAATGTCGATCAAACAATCTACGTAGAGGGACATTTCATGTACGTACATCGTATTATAATCTACTTAGGGAAAAGCGTATATTTACTATCGAATTATCGACTTTGATCAATATGATGATGGAGTAATTGGCAGAAGCACATGTAAGTTTGATGATGTCACATATGACATATTTGGGATTACACTTTATCAGTAAAGTACAGATTCTAGTACTGTTGTTGAGTTGAGTCCCATCCGGGATTCGAACCCACACTCTCAGAGTCAGGCACAGAGTCAGCCGCTTAACCCGCTCATTCACCGCGGCTTCCCCCGCTTGACTTTATGTGCTGTACTTTATAAGAATCTATACTTTACTGAGGTAGTGTCATCCATAACATATGTTAACATTTAACCACATTCTGAATCGCATTATATACTGGACAAAATATGTTAGGAATATTGGTACTTTTATGATTGATTTTTATTAGTGTGTCAATGAATAAATAGATCATTATTCATAATTTCAAAATTTACATATATCCCTAACTATTTTTGTCCAGTATATATACATAATTGGCCGTAGTTCCTGTATGTCTTTTGCACCCTCTGGCTTAATAAATGATAACCGATTTTGTTTATTATAAACCTAGATATGTCTGTTAGAAGAAGTCGAACATTCAATAGAATAACTCTTCATTTAGAAGTTTTGTTAACTGAATTTGATGGAGGTTTGTCTTCAGTTCAACACTGATAGTTAGACAGTCAGAAATGATTTCGTGTGAATAGAAGCGGTTAGAATAAACCATGCATATATTTATATCAAACATTTTCAACCACAGTTGTAACACAATATTGGGGTTTTAGTAACGGTACGCACGATTATAATATATAGATATATAGATATAAAAATATGTTGTCGTGAGACGTAAGTATCATCAGCATGAAAGTGTTACAGACTGTGGAACCAATACGCGAGTGAGTGAGTGAGTGACTGAGCGGGTGAATGAATGAGTGATCGAAATGTGGGAGAGAAAGAACAAGTAATGTGTGTGGCTATGAATGTCACTGCAAAGTCATTGTTAATAGAGAGTGAGTTGAGTTTTACGCCGCTTTTAGCAATATTCCAGCAGTATCACGGCGGGGGACACCAGAAATGGGCTTCACATATTGTACCCATGTGGGGAATCGAACCCAGGTCTTCGGCGTGACGAGCGAACGCTTTAACCACTAGGCTACCCCACCGCCCCCATTGTTGATATCAAACAGAACAACTTTATCATGTACACGAACCAAGTGCAGGTACTTACATATTTTCTCCGCTGCTATCTATACCTGAATAATGAGAAAATAAAGCATTTCTGCGCTTGTTTTGCATGCCCCAAAAACTAACATTTATACTAGGGCCTGATCACTACATCGTTTTCGTGGGATTGAACATCGGTAATGTTGAAATGCAAATGCATCACGAAATACAGATGAATATGAAAATATACCGTAAAAATATGAATATCTAAACATAAAAAGTAGATGAAGAAAGGGGGTCACGTCAAAAATACAACTTATAACATGATATGACGTGCGTTTGCGTGCGTGTGTGTGTGCGTGTGCGTGTGTGTGTGTGTGTGTGTGTGCGCGCGCGTGTGTGGACGTTTTGTAGTGCCATTCTACTTAGATAGCATGCCACAGTTGAACATAGATAACCGCACACACTTGCAGCATACTGACTCGGAGCCGAACGCAAGGCAGGGTGAGAACATGGACCGCCTTTTAACCTATTTTGTAATGAGACGGCCCATGATCGATCCCCGACCTTCCGCTATCCCTGTGTGTAATCAAATAGATTTTTACCATTTTTGTCTATTTTCACTGATTGTTTCCGGTATCTATAGTGATTTACAAGAAAGTCATCACATGTGATTATGTTATGAATCTACGCGATATTTGTTCATTAGCTCATTGTTTCAAATGTCGAAAGTTGACAGCTAGCCAGGTCAAGCTGAAATCTTTAAAGTTATTTTAAGTAGATACGCACACATTGAATGAATCAATAACCAGGCATTGGTATCCAAAGCTTCGGCAGTGGGAGCCGTGACAGTTTACACATGCTTTTGTATTACAAAAAACTCGTCTTATTGTATTCATTATATCATATTCTGCAATCTGCATGTGTACGTTAAACAGTATGTACACAGACTTTCTGTATTTGTTGATTGGCATGGCCAAGACTTTGTTCAGTACCTGCAGTGATACAATGGGTCGAACTCCGTGTTTCATACAGTATCTGCTAATGAGTTTGTTTCACGTCGTTTTTACGTGAGTGAGTGAGTATGGTTTTACGCCTCTGTTAGCAATATTCCAGCAATATCACAGCGGGGGACACCAGAAATGGGCTTCACACACTGTACCCATGTGGGGAATCGAACCCGGGTCTTCGGCGTGACCAGCGAACGCTTTCACCACAAGGCTACCCCAGCGCCCCTGAAGGTCTGAATATATTCATGCATTACGTGACTGTTAACTGACTGTATACCCACCACTCGTCCTCCTGCTGATGATACAGACGGTGATGAGGCCCATGAGGAGGAGGAGACCCCCCGCAGACCCAGCTATTGCGTAGAGAAGGAGGTACCCCTCACCTGTAACACAGCAATGGATAACATTAGCTTTAACAAAATGTCAAGTTCCCATAGAGAAACGCTCTTTATCACTTTGATGATTCCGCTGTAACAGGCATGTACAGATAGACGAAGACTGGTAACCTTATACTTATGTTACTGCCACACGATCACCAGCTTCTGTCTATATCTGGAGTAGCCTCCCCTTACACGGATCATAGTGGACGTAGCTAGTCGCCTTGTCAGGCTCCAGATTAGACTAACAACTAGTCTCTGAAATGAACATATTTTACTGAAAAAAAGTTCATAGTAAAAATAAATAAAATATAAGGAAAAGGAGCCCTGAGACTTTCTTCATTTTCACCTGAAGCTGAGGAAATCTAGACTTGCCCATTTTCTAGACTTGCGTGGGCTTTTTTGGATATATTTACTTCAGGGTCTGTATGACAGACTAGCTCCAGATCAGACGCCTAATCCTCACCTGGGACGATGCTTTCCCTATGAACTGTCAAGTGAAGTCGTAGCCCTAAGAATTCTTAACTTTGATCGTAACCAATGTGTTGAGAATGGGCTTAAGAAGTTCGTAGGGCTACGAACGTTTTGAGAATATCTAGCCTGCACTCTTGTCTCCCCGTGTCCTACAGTTATTATAGTGAAACAAAAAGAGACTCGTCAAACTTAAGAATCGTTCTACAAGATGTCAAATTATTGTGTTTTATTACTCGACACGGATGTATGCTTTCACTTACCCGACAGTGTACAGATTAAGTTTATTTCTTCAATATGACGCCTGTTATAAGTCTGAATTAATAGACACAGCCACTGCATGCATATAATTTCCACTGCCCGGTATGCACAGTTACTTTTTCCGTCAGTATATTATTGATGTCTAGATCTGTGTCAGTGCAATTCAGGTAAACAACTTCCTAGAACAATGTCGTATTCGTCTGTTTATATTCAGTGAGCGTTTTATCCTGTTAGGTGCTACTGTATACAGGTATGCAATTAAACTGACTATTTCCTTGTGAACCCTTGAAGATCCGGGTTAGAATTGACCTTCAGTAACCCATGCTTGTCGTAAGAGGCGACTAACGGGATCGGGTGGTCTGGCTCGCTGACATGGTTGACACATGTCATCGTATTACAATTGCGTAGATCATGCTGTTGATCACTGGTTTGTCTGGTCCAGACTAGATTATTTACAAACCGCCGCCATATAGCTGGAATAATGCTGAGTGCGGCGTAAAACTAAACGCACCCATTACTTCCTTGTGAATGCAATATGGGTTACATAGGTTATCAAAATGATCAGACGCTGTTGAGTCTTTAGTGAAAGACTACCTTCGCGTCAGAGTTGCATTATTCTTATTATTTGACAACCACTTACGCTGGGGATCATTTTTACTTATGTACAAAATGATACGTTTTCGTCAGTTTAATTGTATTCTCAATTTAAAAAAAAAAATACCTGACGGTCGATCATCTTTCTTATCAACAGCACTTGTTGTCTGACGATCTGTTTCATGACCATCTGTTGTCTGATGGCTATTTGCCTGACCGTCTGTTGATGTAACTGACGAACTACTTTCCTCTGAAGCATTAAAGAATTACAGAGAAGAAACACCATTAATTTGTTTCACTGGCCTGAATAACAACAGCATGTCCATGTTTATCTTAAAAGAAGGAATCAATTGAGTGAGTGAATATCGTTTTACGCCGCTTTTAGCAATATTCCAGCAATATCACGGCAGGGTAGGCTAGAAATATACTTCACACATTATACCCAGGTTCAGCGTGCAATGAAGACGCTTTAGCCACTAGGCTACACCCCCGCCCCTATTAGGAAATCAAGTATTCAAGTAATACAGTAAGTAATCAGTGAAAAAAAATCCTTTCTTGCATGCTTAAATAACGGCATATGTCATAATGGTTACAAACTAAATTAAAAGATTATATTTAGTTTGTACCAATACCTAGAAGAACGTACAAGAATCCGTTATCTTCACCAAACAGCGACTGACACTGTGATCGAGGGGATAACGTTTTGTGTTGGGACTAAATATTAAACAGCAGCAGATATATTTACTTAAACACATGGGTGCACTTTAAAAACACAAAAATTAGATTTGTAAAGCATAGTTTCCGATCACATCCAAGTTCTCCTCCTGGCCCAACTTCTCCCCCCTCCCCCCTCTCGAACCCGGGTCTTCGGCGTGACGAGCAAACGCTTTAACCACTAGGCTACCCCACCGCCCCTTAGAATATAACGGGTGGAAGACACATTTGCTGACAGGAGAGTAACAGCGATATAATTTCTGATCTTGACCTCACTTACCTGTGACATACTCCATCACTTTTACTGTGATGCTGTTGCTAAACCTCTGTCCACTGCCGCATGTCCACACCGACCCTTCATCCAGCGTAGCATTGAGGGTGAGAAAGACGCTATGGCGGGTCAAGTCTGACGCCACTGAAATTCGTTGTGAAACTGCGCGGAACTCGAACCGGTCGTTCATTTTGGAAAGCATCTGGTTCTTTTGATCTCTTCCGTTTGTTTGGAATATTTGAACACAATTCCTATACCACAAGGCTGTTCCTATAGTAAAGCCAGAAGCGTGTGTACATGACAGAGTGAAGGTCCTTCCTTCTGCTGCTGTCGCTGGTACTGACATCAGGTTGTAAGGTATACCGGAGTCTGCGTGGAAAACAACATCCTGAGTACTAGCTTAAGACACTTGTTTCACCCACATACTGTCTTAAATGCGAAATGTCAGAGCAAAGATACCTATCTTAACTATCCACAGAAACAAAATCCTTTTGTTCTTGTTTAACGCCGCACTCAGCAATATTCAAGCTATATGGCGGCAGTCTATAAATAATCGAGTTTGTTTGTTGTTTTTTAACGCCGCAATCAGCAATATTCCAGCTATATGGCGGTGGTGTGTAAATAATCGAGTTTGTTTGTTGTTTAACGCCGCAATCAGCAACATTCCAGCTACATGGCGGTGGTGTGTAAATAATCGAGTTTGTTTGTTGTTTTTTAACGCCGCAATCAGCAATATTCCAGCTATATGGCGGTGGTGTGTAAATAATCGAGTTTGTTTGTTGTTTAACGCCGCAATCAGCAACCTCTAGCTATATGGCGGCAGTGTGTAAATAATCGAGTTTGTTTGTTGTTTAACGCCGCAATCAGCAACATTCCAGCTATATGGCGGCGGTGTGTAAATAATCGAGTTTGTTTGTTGTTTAACGCCGCAATCAGCAATATTCCAGCTTTATGGCGGCGGTGTGTAAATAATCGAGTTTGTTTGTTGTTTAACGCCGCAATCAGCAATATTCAAGCTATATGGCGGCGTTGTGTAAATAATCGAGTTTGTTTGTTGTTTAACGCCGCAATCAGCAATATTCCAGCTTTATGGCGGCGGTGTGTAAATAATCGAGTTTGTTTGTTGTTTAACGCCGCAATCAGCAATATTCCAGCTATATGGCGGTGGTGTGTAAATAATCGAGTTTGTTTGTTGTTTAACGCCGCAATCAGCAACATTCCAGCTATATGGCGGTGGTGTGTAAATAATCGAGTTTGTTTGTTGTTTAACGCCGCAATCAGCAACATTCCAGCTATATGGCGGTGGTGTGTAAATAATCGAGTTTGTTTGTTGTTTAACGCCGCAATCAGCAACATTCCAGCTATATGGCGGTGGTGTGTAAATAATCGAGTTTGTTTGTTGTTTAACGCCGCAATCAGCAACATTCCAGCTATATGGCGGCGGTGTGTAAATAATCGAGTTTGTTTGTTGTTTAACGCCGCACTAATCCAGTTACGTAATTCTGAATTACTACCGTACATACAGTTAGTGAATTTAGTGCATGCGTGTGTATGTGTGGCTGCTTGTACTAGCCCAGACTTAAGCTGATTTTATAGTGCTAGCTCACTGAGATACCATGCCGCATTTAAGCATGAATACCCTTCTCAGACACAGTAAACTGACTCCGAGCCGACCAGTCCTTGTTTGACCCATTAATGCTTAGCGCCAGGCAGGGAACAGCAAGAACCATCTTTTAACGTCTTTTGGTTTGACGCGGACGGGCATCGAACCCGCGACCTTCCGCTCTCCGGGCGGACGCTCTAACCACTACACCACGGAGGCGCTGCCACTACCCTAACAACATTGTATTGATAATATTCATGAAGTTAAAGGACTGCCATTGGTGTTATCAGTGTCAACAATGTTCTCTAATAGTTGAGGAAGACAGACTTTCTGCAAATAGAAAAAGCTCACCTTTAGTTAGATTTGTTGCCTTGAGAGTAAGGTTCTTACTGACTTCATTCACCGTTTCACATCTCCATGATGTCTCACCATTGTGCAAATACATCTCCATTGTTAAACTGTGTCGGTAATTTGACACACTCACATCAAGTTTGGCTCCATCTTGAAGGTCAGGAAATGATCTGCTGTAACCATTACTGACTGTGGATGTCTGGATGATCTCCAGATTGTTCCTGAACCAGACCACTGTGTCATTGCCCGTGGTGTTCTGACAAGACAGAGTGTAGTGACACCCTTCAGCTGTCTCAGTGATGGTTAAGGATGATGTTCCTGTTTCAAATAAATGGGGTTAGATTTTTACTGCTGTGGAATTGTCATTACCATTCTGTAAGATGACCCCGAAGGAAATACAGGTATGTGAGCTGGGTTTAACTCTGCTTATAACAGTATTCCATTAATATTCATATCATTCTTTAACTATCCATATGAGTCAAGTTGATATCAGTACAAAATGATTCGGTTACTTGAGCTGTGATAATACAATACAGAATATGGTTTTGGGTGCATATCACTATTTACACACGGACACCGGTTGGATCTATAAGTAAAGGCTGACTGACTGACTGAGCTTGGTTTTACGCCCCTATAAGTAAAGGGGGCGATGGGGTAGCCTAATGGGTAAGCGTTGGCTCGTCACGCCGAATACCCGGGTTCGAATACCCACATGGGCACAATGCGTGAAGCCCATTTCTGGTGTCCCCCGCCGTGATGTTGCTGGAATATTGCTAAAAGCGGCGTAAAACCAAAATCAGTCAGTCAGTCTATAAGTAAAGTGAGTGAGTTAGGGAGTGAGTTTAGTTTTAGCAATGTTCCAGCAATATCACGGCAGGGAACACCAGAATAGGGCTTCACACATTGGACCCAATCGAACGCTTTACTGAGTGAGTGAGTATGGTTTTACGCCGCTTTTAGTAATATTCCAGCAGTGTCACGGCGGGAGACACCAGAAATGAGCTTCACACATTTTCTATAAGTAGAACAGTCGACCTCATAATATAAGCGTATTACAATGCATTCTCTATGAAAGGGAGTAATTCAATCGAACAGGATCGATTGCGAACTAATCTTATCAAAATCGATCGTGTTCAAAGCAAGAGAGTTTTAAGAAACACCCACGGCCATGGCAAACTGTCTTATATCTGTTATTAGATACATTCAGCAGCCGTGGGGATTTCCAGGTAAGATACGGAACCCGAGCAACCAATGCTTGTTTGGTAGGAAATGGAGCCGATGGCTGTGGTTGATGGCGAGATGTCCATTATGTCAGTCACTGGATTGTCTGATTACAGACCGCCGACACATGACTTGAACATTGCTGAATGGTGCGTGAAACGTCACTCACTCACTCACTCACTCACATTGCTGAATGATGCGTGAAACGTGACTCACTCACTCACTCACTTACTCACATTGCTGAATGATGCGTGAAACGTCCCTCACTCACTCACTCACTCACTCACCTACTCACACACTCACTCACTCACTCTGTTTAACATGCATGGTTCCTTGAGCAGGAGGTAGTTGCTATCCAGTGACCCACCTGATAGCATTATAATAAGGAATACTGACGACGTGTATAAATCCATTACCACCCTCGGTATCTCCAAGTTGTTGAACACCTGCAAAATGAAAACTTGATCAGACTGCAATGCCAAACATTGTCGCTACTACCTTCAAATCTTAAGTTGCAAACTTTTACAATGTAATGATCAGATTCGTGGTAAGAGTCGTTTTCAACATCCGTGTATACGTCGCATTGTAAGACCGATCTCGTTGTTACCGACAACACAACAAAATATGTTTAACTAATAGGTATTAATTATTTACTTGATGAGTTCGGATAGCACGCGTGTATTGGGCTGGAGTAACTATTTCATATTTTCTAATTTCCAAGCGTACCGCGCTTGAGGCCGAGGATCAAATGAATTGTATAAGTATAAAATGCCGCCTTAGTGTCAATGGGTACAACAATTCACAGCGTCTAAAATTATCGCCTAAAAAATAAACTTTAAGTTTATATGTGTCATCTTACGCTTTTGTAAGTTTTCTAAATAACATTGTTATGTCTTGACGACATGCCACAATCAGCGTTGTTCTTGACCTAAACACACAACTACATGTATGACTGGCCAGTACCTGTTTGACAATACGCAAAAATATACCAACCTTACAGGGTACAACCTCCAGATGACAGTAGGCTTCGGTAGCTATGCGTGTCACCTAACACAACACTATTTCACGGCGTGAATGTTGAAGTAGTTATTGAGGATGTAGAATAGGCAAATTGTACTTCCTCTATGGCTTTAAGTTATCTCACAATACTTGTTTGACGGTTATATAAAGGCAGATACGAGTTTTTCCTCACTCTCGTTATTGTATTGATCATTGGTGAATATTGAACAATAATGACCATTTTAACATCGCCTATTTCCATGCACTTGTGCATGTTCAAAGCAGTAACGCATTATTACCCCGGATAACCCAAACTGCCTGTGAGGCGCTAGAAGGTTAACAGTCATATGATTAATCCCACCGGGTACCTATTCACTGCTGGGTGAACAGAGGCGATATATGAATAAACTCACTTGTGCTTCGTTGAAATGCAGGACTGAAGCCCTAGAAACTCACAGGAGTCAAGCTGCCAAACACGGTCACCCATCCAATGAGTCTCCGCGCCCAACGTTGCTTTACTTCAATACCATGTGTCATTCCAAGTGACGTGACGAGATGAAAATAGGTGATGTGATATAAAGATGAGATGAGATAATGTGAGTGAGTGAGTGAGTTTAGTTTTACGCCGCACTAAGCAATATTCCAGCTATATGGCGTCGGTCTGTAAATAACCGAGTCTGGACCAGACAATCCAGTGATCAACAGCATGAGCATCGGTCTACGCATTTGGGAACCGATGCCATGTATCAACTCAGCGAACTTGACCACCCGATCCTGTTAGTCGCCTCTTACGACAAGCATAGTCGCTTTCTGTGGCAAGCATGGGTTGCCGAAGGCCTATGCTACCCCGGGTCTTCACGGGTCTGAGAAATGAGAGATGAGTTCAATGTGATAACGTGTTTGAATGTGATGATAATCAGATGAAATGTGATGATAATCAGATGAAATGTGATGAACATTTGCCTATATTAATGAACCACTCTCAAGCATTGATGATACTAAAATAAATGTGCTTTCAAGTTGAACTTCGTGAACGCCACTATGTATGTACGGGCAACCTCTTAATAATCCCAGCGGGCACACAACGTTGAATCAACGTTGAATCAACGTTGAATTTTGGTTGTTTGGTTGATCAACCTTTCATAAACGTTGATTCAACGTTTATCATGCGACCATAGAAAGTTAGTCGAGATTCGTTTAGTTGTCAACGTTGTTTCAACGTAAGGAACCAACAAAATGTCAACTAATTGTTTCCTTGGCAAATTTGATACATAATTCATATTGGTAATAGGTATCCAACTTAGCAACTATCATTTCGGAACATTAATTTCATAAAAGATCAAGATCGAGCTAGTGACACATATAATCTTATATGTTGTTTGATTGTGCATCGATCAACGGACGGAAATATTACGTAAATCGCAATTGAAAATGAAAACATCAATGATTTTAGGTATAAAGTCATCAGTTATCCGAATTGCATTACATTTGATATTTTCCCACAAAACTGTCAAAATTGTCTAATTCCCGACAATTTGCTTTCAAACACATGCCAGATCGCCTCGTTTGGCCATATCCGGACATGCGCACAATTATTGCGCGCGCAAAGGCAGCTGATCGTTGTTAGTTTACTTTGGCGAAGTTCAACGCAAAATCGTTCTATTTTCAACATCTTCACGGCATGCTGGTGTTTATTTGGTAAGTATGTCCTTCATGCATAATGAAAACGTAGGAATGTTGTTTAAATCTAGCAGGTCAATGTAGCAAGAAACTCCGAATTAGGGCTCATGTTTTATCTCACAAGGGTACCGGTATGTCACGTACATGTTTCTCAAAATTTAGTGGAAGCCCGTGTTTTCCATGAACTTTTTTGTTATTTTTCAATATATTTGCATGCATATATTTGGCATTTTATTATATAATCGAATAAGATTTCCTTTCGTACCCATCACCTGATTTGAATTTTGCAAATATACATTTTCAAATAATCAATGAAGTACATCAATATAAGGGACCATTCATAATTATATGGCTGCGGGTGGGGGTGATGATTGTAAGGGGTGGGTGGGGGGTGTCACCCATTTTGTTCAGGGGAGCTAAGGGGGTCAGCATTTTTGTACACACGCACTATGTTTAATATGATGCTTAGAAATTATGGGAAGGGGAGAGGGCGTCATAGATATTGTACATGACATGCAGGGTGGGGCGTCACTTATTTCGTACATACACTTTACGGGGGGAGGGTAATTCACATTGTACATGCTTCTTCATAAAAATCATCATCACCCCCAAACCATACATTATGAACGGTACCTAAGGGCAGCTATACAAAATCGAATAGAATTTATCAACATTTTATATTGCATCACATTATTATGAACATTTGTTCGTTTGAATAAGTCTATCAGTAAATTATGCATTGAGCACGCTCTGAACCCTGTCAACATATGCATATTATTTGGGGGGAGGGGGGTGAGGGGTGGACTATGGCGAAAGGAAACTTTTCTCAGATCATGCAACGAAAATTCACATCAAAATGTCTTGTGCAAGTCTTTGTTAAGGATGAAATTGCATATAATTTATTTGTTCTTTTATTTATTTACAAAATGTGTAACTTCACTAATGATTCTTTGATGGGACAATTAACAAAACTGCACTCACAGACTTTCATTCTTACACTTGTTTGGAAGGATGTGATGATTCATGTCTCTTAAAGGTTAAAATGTTACATACAAAAGAAGTAATTTAGTAAGGAACATTTAAGATATAATTTTAATGGAATTTGCTGAAATCTCATCTTCGAAGACTGGGTGGCATCAATTTTGTGGATCACATAAAGGGAGCAATGCTAAGGTAATAAGTTTTTAACATTTCCCTTGTTTCCAGTATATCCACCACAAAGGTTGATCATGTAAGAGAATAATTTGACAATGATTTCTCCCGGAGATGTTTAGTTTAATGAGCACTCCCTTGCTTGGCGCCATATTGTTTTCGCCGTAAAGAGCTGGATGCGAGACAGCACGCCAGAGGACAGAAGTCATAAATTTATAGAGATATATAGATGTTTATTGCTGGGAGACACACTCTTCAGGTATTTGGTCAGCTGTAGAATTTGAATATGATGTTTCTTTATTATTGTCAAAGTGTAGGTTTTTCATTATTTTGCATTTAAATGTGTGTGCAGTGAAACATACTGAGATTTGGAAGAGTCGATTATTTAGAGTACAGGTATTGTTAGATATCAGCATTTTATGTACATGTTCCCTTGTCATGATCATCTATCGAGTATATTAGAGAGAAGGTGTATATTTGTAGGGTTTTAAATCAGAGTTATTTTCAGTGTATGACCTACATTTCAATATGTTTTGGCCACCTGTCACCCCTTTGGTCAAATAGGGAGGACTTCCATTTCTTGGAATTGAGAGTCAGAGATACACTGTTTCCAAGAATTTGCGTGTGCCAACGATGTTTGTTAACGAGTACATTTAAGTCTTTTTGAGTGTAGATTGGAGTTGTAAGAGATGTTATTCAGTGTCTTATTATTCAGGGTGTGATAGATTATTTCTGGCAGTGTAGAGTTTAATCTCATTATTTTATTGTTCATGATTCAGAGAAGCATAGTTATGACGTCGCAGATATTATAGGCACACATAATTCATTATATGAGAGATTTTCTAAGCGTTCCTATAAGAGATTTAGTGTAAACATTTCTGAATTATGAAGAAGTTATTTATCTGAGTTTTATGAGTGTACAAATGACAAAGAGAGACAGGGATAATAGGGAATATATTGTATACTTATGAGAGCTCATTATTGTTTTCAGAACTCCATGATCCATACTTCCTTGTGTTTGGGAATAAATGGTGTTGGAAGACCTCCCACAATAGACTTGTTCTTTGACCTGTGAACCACCACCCATTTTGTTTTCTTATCATTTAATGTAAAATGGCTTTTGTTACAATTTATGACTCCTTTTAGCAAAATTGCTACATCAGTACAACTCCTATTTAATTTGAAATAATCGTTTCCGAGAATCTCTAAAGAAAACTAAATCTGACAGAATAACAACAATCTTCCATTGTTTTGGAGGACAATGTCAAACAATTTGATGTCAAGAATGAATGTACGGCAAGTTTTCTTTTAAGAATACAAGGTTGTATTCAATCATCTCTGGTAATTTAATTACCAAATGCAGCATTTTCATCATGACCAAATAATATATGACAGTAAAGCATCGTCTAATTCATCCTAATTCATAGTCTAATTGAATAATCAACTTGCAATTGAGGATTTTCTTTGAAAATGTTTAAGAAAACTTCCATTCCTTTAGTTGAAAATATAAATTGGTTACATTTTTCGTCACATTTTGTATTGATGCTGTTCATATGTTCACACGGCAAGTTACAGCAGTGAAATGAACCTTTCAAGTGATTGATTAAACAAATACTTGAATCATTTAAGACAATATATCTTCCATATAAAATTATTCATGTATTTAAATATAAAATTTCAGAATGTGTCCTATCTCATGGGAATGAGATGGGAATGCATCCGAAGCAAATTTCTGAAGTATCCACCTGACCGCCAGGCAGGGAGTGGCAGAAAGAAGAGAAGCTGTATGTCAGTTTAATGCTATATGCAGATGATATTGTGTTATTATCACAACAGAGATCACCTACAGACTATGTCATGTGTGATGTTTTACATTATGCTTTAAACCACGTTTCTCTGTGTGCGTTTGTGTTCATAAAGATTTCATAAAAAGTGACTGGTTTTATGTCCTGTCTTCAGGTATAGTTCCTGTTCATCTTGGATCCCTTTCATGGTGAACGTAATTGCATTGTGTTCATTCAGGGGTCTGTCTAATAGCTGAAATTCAGACAAAATGTCTTCTCGGGACAATTTCCACCTATTCAAGACAACAAAACAACAGTAAATAGTTTTCTTAATTTGGGATACTCTTTTCTTCTTACTGGAATTATACGTCCAACTGACATAAAACTTAAATGAACATTATATTGAATGAGGAATTTTAACCAAGTATTTTGTCAGGTAAATATGTTTACTGCAATTTTA